AGTAAAGCTATCATATGAAAAGTATCTTTTTATTCCGTTATGAAAAATGTATCTTTATTCGTGATTTGTTTTGACTGCTGCTCAGAGTGTGAATCTAAACACAACTTTATGATGATCTGTTGACCAAAGCCCATATCTGATGAATATGATAGGCCAATGAATGTTTAACCATCATAGAGACTGGTTATCAATTAAAAAAAATAACAATAAAAAAAGATGATGATATCTTTGTTATTTTTAACGTGAATGATTTGAAGTTTTGCATAAGGTTGTGAAATTGTTAAATAGGGAGTAAAGGTAAATTGATGTTTACCGATTATATGAAATATGAACACAAGTCATGATGTAGATGGTCTCATATTGATAATATAAATAATATTCAATTATCTTCTCATTCACTTTTGTATTATGTCTGCAATGAACATTATCAAAGTCCTCTATATTACACATACAGCTAAAATTCATACGTTATTAGGCATCAAGGGTATTAAAGGAATACATATGAATGTGCTTGAATGTGAATTAATGTTTATCAACACACTTTTAAAACCATTACAGTGTTGGGACCGTTTTATAACCAAAATCTAATATATTAGCTTGTGAAAAGATGCCTGTTTATTGCAGTATGGCATATTCGTCATACTATATAATCAGACCTATTACATACCTCTGACTGCATGTTGACAGATTAGCTCAAGTCAAGGACTATCTTTCAGTATTCTATAATGTTGGAGACGAAGCACCTCAAGGGGGACTCCTCAGACCCTTTCAGTTTCCTTATAACCCAAAAAGTTCAAATTCCTTTTTCTAGACACATCTCTTTTATGTATGCTAGTGGCCACGGTGCGGTAAGGCTCCAGCTTTCAATGATTGATATACCGAATACGATTAAGTATGTTCAATGCTGATCGGACTGAATTGTCAATAAAGGGATGGGAGGTAAAGAATATACAAAAGACTTACGTTTATTGTGCTGAACGCTGCGAGAACGGCATTCTTACAATCACTGAGAATACAAATGGGTGCTGACTAAAACAGGTCTTCAAGAGCTGTCTAATAGAGTTCACATGGATCGACTAGCACCTGGATTCTCTTGGCTTGTGCTTTTGTTCATGGGACAAAGATCACACTGTGGGTCTGGCCCTTCACTATCCTTTTACGGTGTTTTAGTTTCACAAACATACTGCTTTTACGGTGTTTTAGTTTTGCTTTTACGGTTTTAGTTTCACAAAACATGCTGCTTTTACGGTGTTTAGTTTCACAAACATACTGCTTTTACGGTGTTTTAGTTTCACAAACATACTGCTTTTACGGTGTTTTAGTTTCACAAACATACTGCTTTTACGGTGTTTTAGTTTCACAAACATACTGCTTTTACGGTGTTTTAGTTTCACAAACATACTGCTTTTACGGTGTTTTAGTTTCACAAACATACTGCTTTTACGGTGTTTTAGTTTCACAAACACTGCTTTTACGGTGTTTTAGTTTCACAAACATACTGCTTTTACGGTGTTTTAGTTTCACAAACATGCTGCTTTTACGTGTTTTAGTTTCACAAACATACTGCTTTTACGTTTTACACAAACATACTGCTTTTACGGTGTTTTAGTTTCACAAACATACTGCTTTTACGGTGTTTTAGTTTCACAAACATACTGCTATCGAGACCACTTTGACTTCTATAAAACCACATTGACAGTGCAGTGTGTGAGAGTTTGTAAGTACTTGCTTTCAGTACTTCCAACCTGTAGTAACTATACAGTTTAGAGACATTTTGATTTCACGTAAAGGGAAAGTCTTACAAATATCTTATAATAAATATCTGAACAACGTTAGATTGGCTTGTAATTTATCTTCAGGAGTGTATGTGTGTGGTTTATGTAAATATTGGTGTATGATTACATTTATAAATGTGAAAAAAAAAGTTTTTCCTCGTTCTATGTATTCCCTTTTCATACGTGGTCTTCAAAGTATCCTAGTAATTCCTTATCTTCTAAGTAGGCTTTACATAAAGAAAGATCCACTACATTACACAACACGCATCTCAGTGGTCTCTGTAAATTCATCTTTTATCACAAAAAAAAAAAAAAAAAAAAAGCAAAAACAGCCTCCATACGAGTCATTCCTGGCATATTGTTAGAACGCTAATACAGTTAGGTTAGTCAACTCTGGATTCTGATAAGGAAATTAACGAAATAAGAAACATTTCAGATAGCCATTACATACTATTTGGCAACATTTTAGTGATGACGTAGTTATATATATAAACAATATATTATTATATATATATATATATATATATATATATATATATGTATGTGTGTGTGTGTGTGTGTGTGTGTGTGTGTGTGTGTGCGTGTGTGCGTGTGTGTGTGTGTGTGTGTGTGTGTGTGTGTGTGTGTGTGTGTGTGTGTTATAAACTGCTTTTGTCAGCAGTACTTCTCTGGAACACAACTACCTAAGTAGATACGTCAGGACCCCCCCCCTCCCCCCCTCCCCATCAGTTGTTCCCCCTGTACACCATCACGCAGAACACCGTGTCCAGCAGGTACGTGACGAAGGCGGCGATGCTGAAGATGCCCATGGCGAAGCACTTGGTGTTGTAGTTGTTGGTGTAGACGGTGCCCACGGCCCTGAGGGCGTCCGCGCCCACCGCCAGCAGGAACAGGGCGAACAGGGCGTTGAGGGCCATTTCCTGAGGGAAGTGAAAAGGAGTCGGTATCACACACACACACACACACACACACACATATATATATAATATGTGTGTGTGTGTGTGTGATATATATATATATATATATATATATATATATAATATACTATATTATTAATATATTATATATACATATATATATATATATATTATATATATATATATATATATATATAAATATATATATATATATATATATATATATATATATATATATATATATATATATATATATATAATATAATATATATATATGTATGTATATATATATATATATATATATATATACATATATATATATATATATATATATATATATATATATATATATATATATATATATATATATATATATATATATATATATATAATATATATATATATATATATATATATATATATATACATACATATATACATATATACATACATAATAATATATATATATATATATATATATATATATATATATATATATATATATATATATATATACATATATATACCTATCTGTCTACCTACCAATCAACCAATCTATGTTAGAAAATACTTTCATATTGATTGGAAAAAAGGAGAATTAGTTGCTAAGACACGAGATATTCCATAAAGAGCTTATCAAATAGTGTTTTTAGAAAATGACTGATGTTTAATTAATGAAAAAGATGATTGTATCAATATGAGGGGAGAGGTTAATAAGCTGGTAATCATAATAATACTAATATTACAAAAAGTTAATGTTCTAGATGCAGTCATCATGAGTACTGGGAAATGCATCTAATAATATCGTTATTCTTTTTATCCATTTTTTAATTTGACTTTTATACATTTATATTTACATTATTCATCTATCATGACCTTCACTGTCTCCAACAATATGACCCTCACTTTCTCCTATACATCCATATTTACATTATCATGATCCCCACTTTCTCCAACGTCACTGTCTTTGCTATCTCCACCTTATCACCCTCACTTCCTCAAAACATGATCCCTCATTGCCTCCAGTATCCTTATTCTCACTATATCCAACATTATCTTCACCGTCACTATCTCCAACATCATCACCTTCCCTATCTCTCATCATCATCAGCCTCGTTATCTTCAGCATTCTCATCACCCCCTCCCTATCTCCCCCACCCCCTCCCTCTTTCCCCTCACCCCCTCGTCTCTCCCCTCACCCCCTCCCTACCTCCCTCTCTCCGCCTCACCCCCTCCTCTCTCCCTCTCACCCTCCCTCTATCCCCCTCACCCCCCCTTCCCTCTCCCCCTCACCCCCTCCCTCTATCCCTCACCCCCTCCCTTCCCCCCATCCCCCCTCCCCTCACCCCCTCCCTACCTCCTCTCACCCCCCCCTCTCTCCCCCTCACCCCCCTCCTCTATCCCCCTCACCCCTCCCTCTATCCCCCTCACCCTTCCCTCTATCCCCCTCCTCCTCCCTTTCCCCCCTCACCCCACTCCCTACCTCCCCTCACCCCCCTCAACCTTACCCTCCCCCCCTCTCTCCCCCCTTCCCCCCTCACCCCTCCCTACCTCCCCCTCACCCTCTATCCCCTCAACCCCACCTCTCTCTCCCCTCACCCCTCCCTACCTCCCTCACCCCCTCCCCCTTACCCCCTTCCCTCCTACCCTCCTCTATCGCCCCTCACCCCCTCCCTCTCTCCCCCTCACCCCTTCCCTATCCCCCCTCACCCCCCATCCCTCTCTCTCTCCCCACCCCCTCCCTACCTCCCCCTCACTCCTCTCCTACCTCCCCCTCACCCCCCTCCCTCTCTCCCTCTCCCTCTCTCCCCCTCACCCCTCCTCTATCCCCCTCTCACCCCTCCTCCCCTCCCCTCTCCCCCTCCCCCTCCCTCTCTCCTCTATCCCTCCCCCTCCCTCTCTCCCCCTCACCCCACTCCCTACCCCTCACACACCCTCTATCACCCCTCCCTCTCTCTCTCCCTCACCCTCCTCATGCCTCATGCCCTCATACCAAGTACGTGTTCTGGATCTGCATCTTCCCCATCATGTAGGAGATGAGCAGCAGCGGCGTCACCATCATGGCGGCGACGAGGACTCCGATCCCGAGGAAGTAGGAGTCCCTGCTGTGGCCGCAGACGTGGGTGCTCAGCCGGAGGAGGCAGAAGGCGCACACCACGCACACCTGGGGGGGGGGGGGGGGGTACATATATATGTTATATATGTGTATATATATGTATATATATATATATATATATATATATATATATTATATATATATATATATATATAATATATATTATTATATATATTATACATATGTGTGTGTGTATAAATATATAATGTCTGTCTGAGTGTGTGTATGTATATGTATATATATATATATATATATATATATATATATTAATATATATATATATATATATATACACATACATATACATAGTATATACATATATATATATATATATTATATATATATATATATATATATATATATATATATATATGTGTGTGTGTGTGTGTGTGTGTGTGTGTGTGTGTGTGTGTGTGTGTGTGTGTGTGTGTGTGTGTGTGTGTGTGTGTGTGTGTGTGTGTGTGTGTGTGTGTGTATACACACACACACACACACACACACACACACACACACCACACACTATATATATATATTATATATATATATATATATATATATATTATATATATATATATACATATATATATATTATATATATATATATATATATATATATTATATATATAATATATATATACATATTTATACACACACAACATATATATGTATATATTCAGCTACACACACACATATAGTTTATACAGTAATCGTGGCCTTTTGTACACTCTGAACAGAACATACCAGTGTAATTAGTGCGTGACTGAGAGTTGATGTGAGTGCAAGTGTCCGTGCTTTAGATAATAAACAACAGAATGTGTGGCAGCGTTTGTCTCTCTCTGTACCAAAGCATGCACAAAAATCTGGCTTTCTACTCACGATTTCTATGATTTTCATGATCCCAGATTTCGTCTTCAGGTACCCCGTGTTAATGGTGATCAGCTCCATGATTGCTTCCGGGCTGGAATGACCTCGTCCTTTAATACACGTCAGTAACACGAAATAGACGTTATCTACAGCATACGTTTTATCCCGAAATTAAATACTACTTATGTATTCAACATATCACATATACAGCATACCTTTTATTCCGAAATTCAATACTACTTATGTATTCAACATATCACGTTTTCGTAGCGCTGGTGATACGTTAATTGATTAACTAGGTGACAAAAAGGGTTCCCATTGGCTGAACTTGTTGGGAAGTTGTTAGCCATTGGGAAAAGACCCAAAATATGCGGCCGGTTTGTTAGAATTGTTCGACCCAAAGAATATTCGTATACTTGACATGCTTAAATAAAGAAATAAAAGCATATTTATCAGTCTAGACATGCATATCAACCCACAGCAAATAGACTGATAGATATAAATGTCTATCTATCAGATATATGGACACATAGGCCTTTATTTTTGCATCTGTATCTATGAAAATTCATTGGGTCGGGCCTGGCACACATTTAACAAACCGGCTAATGGACGCTGCTTTTTCATAACTGTACGTTTCTTTCTTTTTTTTTCAAAATTATTATTATTACCATTATCATTATCATTATGTTGGTCTCTTTATTATATCAATGTTATTTCATCATCATCATCATTGTTGCTATTATTATATTTATTATTATTGTTATAGGCATTAACATTATTATTAACATCATCATAAGTATTATTAGCTTGTTTATAGGCATCATTACTGTTATCATTATCATTATCCTGTTTTATTTTTTATTATCATTAGCCTTATTATCATCATCATTATCATTATTATCACTATTTTCGTTGTAATGACAATTCCCAGTAATATTAACATCATCATCATTAACCTTATTATTATGCTATTGTAATCATTACCTGTATTATCATTATTTTGTCTACAATGATTTTTCGTGGTAATATGAATATCATTATTAATACAATTATTAATTAAATTTTAATAACAATAATAAATTGAATTTGTTTATATTATTATTAGCATCATCATTGTCTCTTAATAATAATAATTTGAATTTGTTAATATTATTATTAGCATCATCATTGTCATTATCATTTTCCATTACAGTTTTTCCCATCATAATCATTAGTAGTAACAGCTGTACAGTTGTTCCAGGGTCGGCAACATGGTACAAAAGCAGAAGACAATTCACGTTCATAAAGATCAAAAGGACTGATGTTGCTAAGATAAAATGATCTCTATCGACAATCTTTAGAGGAAATAAGAAGCGTAAAAGTTGTCCACTTATTCGCGCAAAACAGCGGTGTTCAGCTGTTAGGTTGTCCACATGCAAACATAATCACTTATTCTTATGTTGGTGACCGGAAATTGAGGTTAGATCATTCTCAATATCTAAAACAGTATATAATATATATATATATGTGTGTGTGTGTGTGTGTGTGTGTGTGTGTGTGTGTGTGTGTGTGTGTGTGTGTGTGTGTGTGTGTGTGTGTGTGTGTGCGCGCGCAAAAACAAATAGCGTACATATATGCAAAAACAAATATCGTACATTTTAAAAAGTTAATTATAGAAAAGTGTAGCTATCGTAGAAAAGGCACAAAAAATGTCAGTATAAAAGTTTTTAATCACAAGAGTAACCTTTGCAGTGAAATCGGAAATACAGGTGTTCTCGATCAACAAAGTTACTCTAGTCTCAAAATGCATCGGTGCCAGACGTATGTCATTCGTTCGGTAAATGTTTGT